CGGGCCGGTTTACCGACCTCCCTTGCTCGACGGAGACGGGAATGGAGGCGGTGGCGACCTCAACCGCCATCATGCGTGGTGGGCGGTGCGCACTGGTGGCAGCCAAGGGCGTGACTGGCGGCGGCGTGGAGGCGATGGGGTGGCATGGGTGGCGGCACGCACGGCACGCACACGTGCAGGTCTTGGCGGCGGTGGTGGAGGCACGGGTGACCGGGGTACGCAGCGGCGGGGGGCGGCAACCCGTCTGGGCTCGGGCGGCCGGGCGCAGCGTGGCGCGGCGCGTGGCGGCGGGTCTGTGGCGGGGCGGTGGTGGAGGCACAGGCGGCCGGTGCGCGCGCCGGTGGTGGGGCGCCTGGCAGCCAGTGCAGCTCGGTAGCCAGCACAGAGAAGGTAGCATGCTGGGCGCTGGAGGCGGGCGGCGGTGTGCGGCGACGGTGGTGGACGCTGGGGCCGCCATGAAAGCGCTGGCGGGGGAGGAGATGGTCGATCGGGATTTTTTGACAAGATTTCGATCGGGAATTTGTGTTTCTGACCCGATTTAGGTTTCGCCCCTTGCCGAGGGCCCAGATCCAGGCCCTCGGCAAAGATTTTTATTTTTTTTAAAAATTCTTTCCGAGGGCCACGGACCAAAGCCCTTGGCAAAGAGCCCTCGGCAATTTTTTTTGTTTTTTTAGCCTAGTTTTTTGTGGTGCTACAATACATTGTTTTGAACTCAATTTTAAAATTTAGGCCAATTTTGACTTTTTTTGTATATATTTCCTCAATTTATTTCGATTCTTTGATTTTTTTTGAATATGTCAAATTTGAGCTGCGGGTGCATGGAATATTGCAATGTATTGTTTCAAATATTATTCATGTTAATTGGTGCATGTTGAGTCTCTATCCAACGCATCAAATTTGGCGCATCTTCTTACGCAACATTTACCACTTCCTTACACAAAGTGTTTTAAAATTACATCTCACCAAGTTTCAAAGATTTTGAAAATTGTATGGATTTTATATAATTTTAAAACACTTTTCCTAAGAAGTTTGGTCGTCATGTTACGCTAAGATGCGCGAAATTTGATGCGTAGTTCGTGGATAAGGACTCAACATGCACCAATTAACATGAATAACATTTTTTGAAACACTACATTGCAATGTTCCATGCACCTGCAGTTCAAAATTGACATATTCAAAAAAATCAAAGAATCGAAATAAATTAAGGAAATATACAAAAAAAAGTCAAAATTGGCCTAAATTTTAAAATTCAGTTCAAAACAATGTATTGTAGCACCACAAAAATACTGGGCTAAAAAAACAAAAAAAAAAATTCCCGAGGGCTCTTTGCCGAGGGCCTGGCCCGTGGCCCTCGGCAAAGAATTAAAAAATAAATAAAAAAATCTTTGCCGAGGGCCTATCCTGGCCCTCGGCAAAGGGCTTCTTTGGCGAGGGCCTCGCCTCGGGCCCTCGGCAAAGACGATTTATAAAAAAAATTTGGCCGAAAAACTGGTTCAAAAAAAAATCTTTGCCGAGGGCCTGGTCTAGGGCCCTCGGCAAAGACTTTTAAAAAAAATTTACCGAAAAACTGGTTTCACAGAAAAAAAACCTTTGCCGAGGGCTTAACGGGTGGCCCTTGGCAAAGCTTGACGGGAATGGCCGCCGTGACCCAACGGGCCTAATTTGCCGAGGGCGCGGCCCTCGGCAAAGATTTGATTTGCCGTGGGCCTGTCTTTGCCAAGGGCCGTACCCTCGGCAAAGGCCTCTTTGCCGAGGGCCGTTCTTTGCCGAGGGCTCCTGTGGCTGGCCCTCGGCAAAGAGTATCTTTGCCGAGTGCCCAAGATTTGACCCTCGGCAAAGCCTCAGGCCCTCGGCAAAGCACGCGTTTCCAGTAGTGTAGTTAGCATCATCGTGAATCATAGTTCAATTCGTAGAGTTGTCTTAAATCAAACTCTTTTATGTTTGACCAAATTTATAAAAAATAATATGTCATACCCAAATTTAAAGACAAATCTGGATATAAATTATATATGTGCCCATGAATCAATTACACACATATAGAGACAAATTAAAGGAGAATACCAAGCACAGTGCTTTACTACATCACGAGTATTTAATCCCTTACATAAATGTCAAAGCCTCACCATACCGAAATAATAAATAGCTAAACTCCAAATGGCGCCTCCATAACCACAGGGACGGTCGACTCGTTGATCGCAAGACTAGTAATCCTCAGGAAACTCAGCATAACCATCATAATCTGTTACCCATCCTGGATTTTTATCCAAATAAAATGTAAAGGCAAGCATAAGTATATCTCGTACTCAACAAGAATAACATGGGGTTATGAAGCTCAAAAATGATGACACTGGTTACTGCGGTTAGCATTTTATTGAGTCACAATTTTAGCATTTAAATAGCAACAAGTTATGCTTAAGCCCCAATTATACCACATGATTATGAGTAATCGCAATAAATCAATAACGATTAAACATGAGCGTTAGCAATTATAGAATAACAATAAGAACCAATTATTCCGTCAGTTTTTCAGGGCGCTCGTGTCCGTGAGCACGGCTGATATACCAGTTTTACACTCTGCAGAGGTTGTACACTTTCACTTTGAGTCGTGTTGCCCATATGCATGGGTTAGTTACTCCAAAAACACTTCCAATGTGAGCAGGCAGGGTACAGTATGAAGCCTTTCAAAAATTTGTCTAACAAGTTAGTGGCCGCGAGGATTCAATGGCAGACAGATATAGAGCCCCTCTTTAAGGTGGCACACTCACACAGAAGTACTCAAATTAACAGAGACTGCACTATATCCAATGGTGGCAAACCCTTCTTGCACCATAAAGGTAACCACTGACAAGCAAGAAAATGTCTTTCTACTTGACTAAAGCCAGAGCCATGTAGCTCTCATGGCTGTAGTGTAAGTCCCGGATTTTGCTCACAGATAAGTCCTTAGGGATTCCATGTTGCTAAAAACACATTTTATTGGTTATTGCATAAGGCCATTAATCAATATTTAGATCATGTGTAATTAAATTGAGCTCTAGCAAATACTACCCAAATGCAAGTAACCCACAGGTAACAAGGTGCAACATAATAATTCACTAGGATATCCTTAGGGGTAACAAATTAGACACATGCATATGATTAAATGATTAACGGTGAATAGGACAACAAGGAAGATCCCAAGCTATATTTGCCTTGCTCAGCAAATTCCTGTTGATCCTGCTAGTCGTCAAAGTACTGGTCTTGCTCATCGATATATCGTCTATACTTGATCGTCAAACATCAACACACAATCATCCGGAGCAATCATGCACGAAGCAAACAAAAACTATAATTAGAACAGTACACCAACAGTGGGAAAACAAGTTGAAAAGTTTTTTAAACTATTCTACATGTCACTACGAACACACAGACGCGAAAATCACCGAAATCGGATTTAAAACGGAGAAGTTATGATGAAAATATGAACTCGATGGCAAAACCGTAATTATTGCGAACTTATTTACGGGTTAAAATAAATATAAAATCGGTTTTCATTACTGCACAGGGACTGCGGTTTGGATTATCTGAAAGCCAAGGGTCTCTTTAGAAAAATGGACGGCGAATGGGTATCTTTGAATCTGGGTTGTTGATCTCGCGGTCGACGGCTGCGATTAGGTGGGCGGGAGAGAGAGAGAGAGGGGGCCGGCCGGAATAAAACGCTAGCGCGGTGGCTGCCATTAACGGTGGCGAGAAGCTCACCAGAGCGAGCTGAAAATGGCCTACGGGCCACGGTTTCGCAAAACAATGACACCGGGAGGTAGCGGGGACGACGGAGACCTCACCTAGGGCTTTCTCGCAGTCGAGGACAGCTTGGAGTCGGCGAGCGGCTCGACGGGGCTGCTTTGATTGGGGTCGGGAAAAGGGCGGCACGCGCACGGGGCTTAGATTTTATAGGCCTATCGGCCTAGGAAACACACCCAATCCCGGAAAGATCTGGAGCGCATCGGTGGGATTCCACCCCTGGCCGACTCCAACTCGAGTATGGGAGGTAGATCGAGGACACTATGGCGTGGGTCCGCGGTGACGGTGAGAGAGGAGGTGGGGGCCGGCTGTCAGTCTTGCAGAGAGAGGGCACCATTGCCTGCTGGGCCACGGCATTGGGCCCGGGCGTCCGCGCGGGGCTGGGCTGCCCGGTTGGAGAGTGAGAGCAGGCCAGCTAAGGCCTTTCGGCCATGAAACAGGAGGAGAAAAGGATGTCCTTTTTATTCTTATTTTTCTGAAACCGAAATCTTTTCAAAACCATTTCAAATAACAGTTTGGATAGACTAAAAATTTAGTAAACCACACAGAACAAAAATACAGATGCTCCAGCATGAATGCAAGACATGTATCTAGCCTTATAGTTGATTTTAGTTTAACAAATATTATTATCCCACTACATTTGAATGCCCACAATAATGCATAATTAAATAAATTCAACCTATTTCAAAGGATGAAAATTTCAAGGTGTTACATAATATAAATATTTATGACACTAAATGAGTATATTATAAAAATAACTTTTATGGTGTATCTAATGATGTTAATTTAGTATAATATAAACTTTGGTACTCTTTTCTATAGGGAGTAGCAACGGTGTTAGATTTGGAATTTGTTTTAGAAAAAGGTTAAAAAAATCGTGGGCAGAAGAAAAATGAAAAAAGGGTTTTCAGAATCGATGGGCTCTTTGTCATATTCAGCTGGTATATGAAGATTCAAATAAAATAAGATTCAGCAATGAACAGTAATCCAAGTTGTCAGCACAGAAGTTTGCCATGACAAAAACGTGCACAAAACCGCAAAACGTGCACCGGAATCTGCTGAAATAAACTGCAACGAGATTCAAATATCATCAAAAATTAACAAGCAGCAGTTATCGTCACATGATCTTGCGTTGTGTCATTTGGTCTTCGCTTGCTTCGACAAAACTCTCGTCGAAATTCAGAAACAAGGTTGACACTGCAGAGTGGCATTCCAACTACTGTTTACTTGTGATCTTTAATTTCCTTAATGATACCGTCAGCAAGGGAATCTGTATCATAGTTCTTGCCATAAAACTTGACAAACTTCATCTCTGGGTTCATCAGGTACCTGAAAAAATGAGGAACCAATCAGTCAGTGTTTTGACAGAAAATATTTGTATTTGATCTATCATAATGATAGCACATAGCAGTAACATCAATGAGTTCAAGCAGGATAAAACTACCAGCCAGCATGTAAAAGCATGTAATTTACAGTATCCAATATCATAAAAATTTCCTACTAGATACTCACTGGAGCCTCGCAAGATAATATTCAGAATTGGTTAAAAAAACAATAGCCAAATTAGCGGGTTTCTTCATTTTAGTTTGCATGCTGTAGGTATGCCATATCTTAAAATAATAAAATGACTTGAACTAGACCATCCCAACTGCAGAACATTATCAAAATCAAAATTAGCTAATGCCCAAAGCCATTGTGCAAGATGGAGGAGATTAGAAATAGCATACACGACAATTGAGTGATCAACAAGGTAGTCAGAACCATCCTCCTCTGTCTTCATATAGTAAACTCGGTAAGCACGTGCAGCTTGTCTTACTTCATCTGTCGTGCCCGTGAGTCCTATCAGATCTGGATGGAACTCTGAATCACAAATAGTTCATCAGCAATGAGCAATCAAAAGAATAAGATACTGCAAAATAGTAATAAGAGATCAAAGGGCTACAATATTGAATGATTACAAGCATTAAGAACTAAGGGACAATTGCAAGCACACACCTTTAACATAGTCCCGAACCTGCTCAACAGTCTCTCTTTCAGGATCAACTGTAATGAAAACTGGCACAACATCCAGTTTTGCCTTTTCCTCTGCATATAAGAACATATTATAATGACTGAAAAAATATGCTTAACTCAAACTGTCTACTAGGTCCACTTGGGTGCTTCAGTGGAAATTTTCACCAAGTCCAGTCAAACAAAAATACATAACCTTATATGTACATCTCATTTTGGCTTGCCCATTTACCCAATTATTTGCGTACAATAATATGCCTTCTAGTTTCTAAGTGACAATATAATGCATATTATTGATAGACAATAAGCAGACACAACAGGATCTATGAGGATACTTATATCCAAGGATCAAAAGAATCAAATTGACTTACTAATTTGCTCAATCGCCGCAGCCATTTTCTGGAGTTCATCTGGGCAAATGTCAGGACAGTGTGTAAATCCAAAATAAAACAGAGTCCATTTGCCCATGAAATCCTCTTCAGTAACAGGTTTTCCATCATGATTCAGAAGCTTGAATGGGCCACCAATGGCTGCAGTGCCTACTGATTGCCCAGGCCTCACAGCACTTGTTCTATTCTTCAATTCTGGGTAAGATGGAAGAGAAAAAAAAATGACAAGATAAACAGCTATCAGAATTCAAGGAGCTAATACCTTCCTACTTCAGATAAATACTTCCAAAAGACACGTGTCCATTCGAAAAAAAAGTAGGGGAAGGTTTGAAATGTTCGCTAAAATAGTAAATGGCGATCTGTTTCTGAACCAGAGGGTAATGATTTTGTCATAGTGCAATGGTGTCAAAACAAAAATACTGATTTTGTCATAGTGCAATGGTGTCAAAACAAAAATACAGTTTACAATATAAGATACAATTACAATTGGCACAAAGTCTTCTGACAATGGTTCCACCGTCCCTATAATGGTTTCTGGCTTTTTGCTGATGTCATTAGGAAGCATGGAAAGAGGAACAGACACCTTTATATTGTTTGTTTAACAAGCTTAGTTTTATGTTCAACTTTTTTATAACTGCTTAAAAGCTATGCATATATATTTACAGAAAAGCTAACAATAGTACGAAAATGCAAGCAGTGGTTACAAATGAAAATGCACACGAATCATTGCTAACCTATTTTTCTCATTAGTGTAGACTGGCCAAATTTGTTGTTAAAAGGCAAGCCAGTATGTAAGGCAGGGCAAGCTTAGGCAACTGGCTGAGTTATGGTTCTCCATTTTGCATACAGCAATGAAGAAAGAATTGATGATTGTCAAGGAACGTATGAAACATAGAGTGGTCCTTAGGGAGTGTTCGGCTGGTCAGCTTCGGCTGGCTGGCTCGCCTTTTTTTTCAGCCGGACCAGTGTTTTCTCTCACCAAATTCCAGCATGAACAGTGTTTTCTAGCTGCTACAGTGCAAATTTAATGCCAGCCGAACACTCCCTTAGCTTGCTCAATCATGGAGGTCACAAATGCAGTAAGGTGTCTCCTGCTTTAATGATTTCATTCATTGATAGTAACCATCTTTTTTCGACAAAACTAAAAAGAGAATTTTCAGTCTAAGAGATGTATATGCTCAACAGAGATTTTATGGAAGGGAGTTTCTAGCAAATCACCAATACAACTCCCCCAATAGAGTTGTATATTGGAGTGCACCGATATTGTCTTCTACATTTATTGGGGAGATGCTTTTGCAAATCACTAATACGGTAATTGGGGAATGGGGGAGGTATTGGGAAAGGTCCATCTTTCCCTCTATTTGAGGGGAGTTCGCGCGAAATATTGGTGGTCACCATTAAAAAGGGATGCGAAGGGGGATCTGTTGGAGCAAGAGGGAAAAACTCAACTCACATTTTTTTAAGGAAAGGGGATCTGCGGGAGATGCTTTTATATGAAAACGCTGTTAGTCGCTGAATTCTCACTCTTGGTAGTAGGAGAATTCTTACTCTCATCGAGAGAGGATGACAATAGGAGTTGGGGCAATTTTCTTGTCTATTTCTTACTCAAATGCCATGCCAACCTGAGGGGTTGGGGTTACATATTTATAGGCTGCTAGCCAGCCAAGCATATGCCAAGATGCTAGTCTAAGATGCTAGTCTAAGATGCTAATATGCTGTCCTAGCTAAGATGCTGTCCTCTAAAATGTTGTCCTGCTGTCCTCTAGTCTAAGATGCTGTCCTAAAAGCAGAAAAACAGCCACAAGGACCATGTGAGCAGTACAGCCCCACAAAGACCACACATGAGACTTATCCATCATTCTCCCCCTAAGTCTTGTGCGTCGTCTTGTGGGAGAGTTGAACCATCCCGGTCCTGGAGCAGAGCTCAAGGAACTTGATCCTCCCAAGGGGCTTGGTGAGCAGGTCCGCAAGCTGGTCCTTGGTGTTGATGTAGCTTGCCTTGATGCTCCCTTCCTCCAAACAGCCTCGGATGAAGTGGTACCTCACCCGGATGTGCTTGCTGCGTTCGTGGAACACGGGGTTCTTTGCCAGGGCCAGAGCGGACTTGTTGTCCACCCTGAGCTCCACCGCTCTAGTGTCTCTGCCGAGGAGATCACCAAGCGCAATGCGAGCCAGAGCGCTGAGTCGAGCGGTGGAGGCCGCTATGTACTCGGCCTCGCAGCTGGACAGGGCCACCACCTGCTGCTTGACCGACTGCCAGCTAACGAGGCACTTGCCGAGGAAGAAGAGGATCCCGCTCGTGCTCTTGCTGGTGTCGATGTCGCCGGCGTGGTCGCTGTCGCTGTACCCGACGAAGTGTGCCGCCCCAGGGCACCTCGGGTAGTAGAGGCCGTGGTCGAGAGTCCCCGCAACATAGCGGATGATCCTCTTCACAGCCTGCTGGTGCTCCGTCGTCGGTCGCTGCATGAACCGACTAACGTAGCCGACGGAGAATGCCAAGTCCGGCCGTGTGTGGGTGAGGTAGCGAAGGCTCCCCACAAGACGCCGGTACTGCGTAGCGTCCACCTCCTCCGTCGTGCTGTCGCGGCTCAGCTTCAGCCTCTCCTCCATCGGAGTGAGAGCTGGGTTGCAGTCGGTGAGCCCAGCTAGCTCAACGACGCGCTTGGCGTAGGCGGTCTGTCTAAGTGTGATCCCGGAGTTATTCTGGTGCACCTCGATGCCCAGGTAGAAGGAGAGAGGCCCCAGGTCACTCATCTGGAAGGTGGCCTTCATCTCTTCCTTGAATGCCGCCACCTCCGCATCCTTGGTGCCGGTGATCACCAAGTCATCGACGTAGACACCCACCAGCAGAGCAGTTCCTCCACTGCCCCGTCGGTAGATGGCCGCCTCGTGCGGGCTTTGCTCAAAGCCCATCCCCTTTAGCGTGGAATCCAACTTGGCATTCCACGCCCTCGGTGCCTGCCGCAAGCCATAGAGGGCCTTGCGCAGCGGAGCACCTGCCCTCCTTGCCGGGATCGCAAATCCGGCGGGCGGCGGTGCACGTAGACCTCCTCCTTCAAGTCGCCGTTAAGGAACGCCGACTTGACGTCCATGTGATGAACACGCCAGCCCTCCTGGGCAGCTAGCGCAAGGAGGAGTCGCACGGACTCCATCCGTGCCACGGGAGCAAAGGCGTCGTCGAAGTCGACCCCCTCCTGCTGCACGAAACCTCGTGCCACCAAGCGAGCCTTGTGCTTGACGATGGCACCGGCTTCATCCCTCTTCAGCTTGAACACCCACTTAAGGGTGATCGCGCGGTGACCACGAGGAAGGTCAGCAAGCTCCCAGGTGCGGTTCTTCTCGACCGCATCCATCTCCAACTGCATCGCGGCGCGCCATGCCGCGTGTCTCTCGGCCTCTGCATACGACCGAGGCTCGCCGTCGTCACACGCAAGGTGCAACTGCGCCTCCAGGTCGTGAGGCACCGGTCCCGGCACCGGCTGGTCACCGAGAAGGTTCTCCATCGTACGGTACCGCAATGGCTCGCCGTCGTGGTACGCGTCGATGCGCTCCTCGTCGTGAGAGAGCGGAGTAGCGAGCTCAACCGGGCTGTGCTCGACACGAGCTGGAGTAGACGTGCCCGGAGAGGTGCCTGTCGATGCTGGAGTGCGTGGCGTTGCCGGCTGTGGTGGAGCCGGCGAAGAACTCATCGCAGCCGAGGTCCTGGCTGGAGAGCGTGGTGCTGTCGGAGTAGCAGGCGCCGGGGTCGGCGGAGGCTCGGGGACTGGGGTAGACGCGCTCGCCGAAGAAGAGCTGCCTACTCCCCCAGCTCCCTCGAAGTGGACGTACTCGACAGTGAAGTCGTCGTCGCACGGAGCCGAGCCATCGCCCACCGCCTTGTCCCACGCCCATCCTCGCTTTTTCGTCCGAACACAACGTCGCGCGCCAGCGCGCTACGCCGCCAGTGTCTTGGTCGAGGATGCGATAGGCCTTCGAGCCCTCGCGTGGCCGATGAACACTCCGGAGTGCTCCCGCCGTCGAGCTTGCGATGTGGCCAAGCTCCTTGGCGAACGCGAGGCGTACCAAGACCCGCAGGGGAGACCGCCGGCTTGCGCCCATGCCAAGCCTCGTCGGCGTCCCCGCTGGTCGAGCGCCTTTGGTAGGCGAAAGCGGTTGAGGATGTAGACGACCGTCACCACCGCCTCTCCCGAAGACACCGGCATCCCCTCTCGCTTGAGGAGGGCCCGAGCCATCCCCACAACCGTCACGTTGCGCGCCGCTCGACGACGCCGCTTCTGCGCTGCGGGTCAGACGGCGCGGAGTAGTGGCGCTGAATGCCTCGTCGGTATGATGACGACGCGAATTCAGCCGCCGTGAATTCGCCGCCGTTGTCGGTGCGCAGCACGCGCAGCTTGCGGCCACACTCCGCCTCCGCAGCAGCCTGCGTGCGCCTGATGGCGTCCGCAGCCTCTCCCTTGCTGCCGAGGACCATCACCCACATGTAGCGGGAGAGGTCGTCGACGAGCAGCAGGAAGTAGCGTCGTCCTCCCGGTGTGGCGGTGTCACCGGCCACACAAGTCCCGTGCACAAGCTTGAGCCTCTCCTTGGCTCGAAAGCTAGCCCGCTGTGGAAAGGGGAGTCGCCTCTGCTTCGTCAACACGCAGACATCGCAGAGCTGCTCCACATGGTCGAGGCACGGCAGGCCTC